AACCTGAGTAAAATAAGTGCAGTTGATTCTCCTAACTTTAGTAAAGCCTGCCTACTGGCAAGAAAGCTAAACAAAAGTGAATAGATAAATTGCGAAATAAAACGTTTAAGTCTTGGTCATATTTTAATGGAAAATAAGGGACAGGGTTTGCATTCAGTGGAGCAGAAGAAACGTTTTGATGAAAGCTGTGTGGAAATACGAACAAATAAAAGTTTAATAACAGTTCTAGCAACAAAGGTGGTTCTTTTTTCCATTCGCTTTTGCTAAATATTCCACTTTGTCCAAACTATTGCAACAAGTGACTGAACTCCATAGGAATATCGAATACGCCTTACAGGATCTCCTGGCACATATCGCTACCCCATTTATTGCGTAAGAGTAGGAGCATCAGTTTAGTTGATTTACTAATTACTATAAAAGTTATCTGATTTCCTTGGACTAAAATTGCAAGAATTAGTTTATAAGGTGGTAGCATTTTAATTTCTGAAGAGCCGAGTTTCAGATCAGTGAAATGAAATAACGATGCACCATTTGAAACATTTTCTACAAATGAGCTAAAATCTAAAACTAGTGCAATGTATGTAAGCAAATTGTCTTTTTAGAATTTCCTGAACTTTGCTAACTTGATCGACCCTAATGGATGATCAGGTAATTTAAAAATATTAAAACTTGTGTGTGCAAAAGCTAAAGAATTGTAAATGTGTATATTTAAACTAAACCGAAGCCTAAATTTGCCTGACGGATTGTTTATTAGTTAAAAGTTGACCGAACACAAGTAACCAAACTGTTAATCATGAATCACTTCTGACAATACACCAAGCCACTGTTTAAACTCAAAACACATGTTTGCGGTCGCGTTGACGAGTGCTTGATGTGGATAATGGGCTTGGAGCTGTTTGTCCTATTAAGTCAATGAATAATCCCGAATATTACTAGTCCAAATGTGTGGCGAATGGACAACTGGAATTTCTAAACTGAGGCGAAATGTCGAGCTATAAATGCCACCCTCATTAAATATCAAACAGTCCAGGCAACAGACCTATCCAAGTAAAAAAATTGTAGTCTGGTTGAGGTTATACCAACATTTCCAAAGATACGCATAATTTTGCTTGGCTAAACCGAAACTTGGAGTCTAAAATTGGAAACCCACTAAGTTGGCGTGAGGATGACCAAACACGTTTATTTAATTTAACAAAATCTGGGTACAAGTGCAGACTTGAGGAATTACTACATCAGTAATTTCATCAAAGGCATCTATCTGGGCTCAATTAGTCTAATAAAGATTTCCCGAAATCTACTAAATACAGGAAAACATAACGTCGTTAGCTAAACCGACTTCAAAGCCCTGCATTCGTACCACTGTGCAGTAAACATAAGACATTGATTGGTATCAGCTGTATTTCGTACCGCCGCTGCTAAACGATTTTAGCAACAAAGTTCTGTGCCAATTCCTACTTTAAAACATCTGCCTCAGAGGGTTGTGAACGCAAGATAAACCGTCATAGAAGTGGCCATTCATTGGACAGAGATCAACCAATCACAAAATCCCTAATCGGCAAGCCAAAAAACCGCGTAACAAGTCACTGTGTCCGTGGCTGCCAGGATAAAGCGTATCCACTCTTGTAGGGATTTGATTTGCTAAATAGAAAAAAGGGTTGGGGAAGTTCGGAATATTTCTTAAAACTTCTGATAAAAAGGATGTATCTTACGTCAATTTAATCGGACTTCTAGGAATACACTGCTGGATAACTACAGGTACGTTCTATGATTTATTTTATGGACTCCAACTCCATGAGTCAATTTTTCCAAAATTTTTCTTGTCGAACAATTTAAAATTCTCTCTGGCAATTTGTTTTTGTATCAGTGTCCCTACACTTAATATTACATTTTGTACAGAAATATAACAGCAACCAACTGTGAATCTGGTGTGGTTTGTTTGAAATCACGGGCATGTTCAGCAAACATTGTTTAAAACAAATTGTTAGGTCGCCTAAACGGTAATGGAAAACGCAATTTACTGTATCCACACAGATAAGCTGAATCTCATACTCTATTTTATGTTTCGGTTTCTAAGTCGCCATGCTCTGGCAAGTTACTAAGGGAGTGCCAGCACGAATCCCATTTTGCAAGTAATCACTGAGTAACTTTGTGAAAAACAAAATAAGGGGAAGGTCTCAACTTTTAATTCAACCGTAAAATCTGGCTGACAGGACAAGGACCTCGTTTGTCGGTCAGTTAGTTATAAAGAAGCTATGTAAAGCTGGTAGTGCTGCTGTTATAAAAAAAGTCCTGGACTAGGTTTAGGAGGCCAATTTAGTAAAGAAAATTTATGCGATTGCTCAGATAAATAAAAAAAACACCGGGAATGCTTTTAAATTAGCTGTTTTGAATTTGCGAGATTAGCGAAGGGTGATTTCTGCCACCGATGAATGAAGAGTTGAAGTCAAAATTCCACGACAAATGACTGTCGATTGAATACGATTTGACACCTAATACGTAATGTTGGTAGACTCGTCGTTTCAAAATGCACACGATAACGTTTTTCCCATCAGTTAACAATTTTCGCGGTTTGGGTTTGCGGGCTACATCGATTTTAGACAATAAGCTTGACAATGTTAAATAGTGTATTAAAAAAAACATTCCGACAACCAATTTTGGAAACTTATTTAATCCCATATTAGCAAGTTTTTAACCAAGCTTTAAAACTCTATATTTTGGAATTCAGGGCGTCTTGCGGAAAAACCTATACGGCTGGCCGTAGAAGATCGGTAAATTAGTTTAGAAAGAAAGTTACGAGATACTAGCAATCGACAGCTACTAATGCAAGTAACTCAATGTAATTACAGTAATAGGCTTGTCCTTTGTAAAAAACTACCATTTGGTGCTCGAAACCAGTGAAAATAATTGTGAGTACTTTCTGTTCTTTTAAATCTTAAGTTTCTGAACTGACACGTAGTTCGAAGGAATTATTTCCATTTCGCCATTAGGAGTAATTAATGAGCTTGTGTCCATTATACTGAATTCTTGACTTAAAGTGTGGAAATCGGATATATGTCTTAGAAAATTGAGTGCACTGATTAAAATAAATGACCTCTATGTGAACACGTAACGGCTCTAGCAGCAAAGTACATTAAAAGAAAAGGTACTACATGGAATCATATGTGGATGAATTGGTACTTTAAAATTTAATACAATGCAGAACCAATGATAGATCTGGTTTCCTAAAACTTTGAACTTAATTAGTTTAACAAATCCATTGAATCAACGTAACAAGCAACACGACTTAAGGGCCTGTGGGTTATATCTTGACATTCTAAATAAAGTAAACATTTGTGCATGAATGTCATTCTAATGGACTCCCTAAAGTAGGCGCTAGTTCAGTTACCCTTTTTTGGTGATCAAACATTTATTCATTAACTTATTTTTTTCCCCAACGTATGCGACTGCCTAACATAGCTTGCTTGAACTCCACAACTGCACTAACCTAAAGCTATGGAAAAGTCATCAATGTGGTACTTTATTGCTGAGGTAAATGTTTACAAGGGTTTTTTTCTAGTCAGATAAGATTGCTTTACTTTTTAAGCCCCTATTAGATCACTGGAAATTCTTTGAGATAATCATGGTAAATTGATTACTATTAAAAGTTCAAAGTTCTGTCGTGCATTATTTTGTGGAAAGTTGAGCGACTGACGCTTTACACACGACTGGGTGGCGCTTCAGAACATTTCAGACGCAAGGATCTTTGCGCCTCTTTGTGCGCCTTTCTTCAACGCTAATGCGTGTCCAGCAGTGGCATATTACCTGCCTTGAGCTAGTTACAAGCCACCCTCTAACATTTGAATAATGGTACTCTTTAATTCCTGGGGAATGGGCATCTAACGGTTACACTCAGACCCAATATTTAGAACTTGGTAAATGTAACTAACGGAAATGAAGTTCTGAGGTTGTGGATTCAACCAGTACTTGAAACCGAGCAATTTGGGAAGTGATGTTAACAAATGATTTGTTAATTTAACAAGATGCCTTCAAAACTTGATTATGGCAAGTATAGTGATTCCAAGTTCGAGGCCCTTTTATTTAAAATTGAGGAAATTCTTGACGTACAACTAATACTTGGTTCAAGCTTATAAAGTGGTGAAACAGAATATAGTAGGACAAGGAATTAATATTCATATTAGCGTGAGAAGACTTGGATATGATGAAACGCAATCTGTTTTTACCAGTTGTCCAAAAGGCTAATGAAGTGCAAACAGGCATAGAGGAAGTTGTTCCCATTTCCAAACTACTACTACTAAAGTGACCGATCTAAGAAAAAATGATAGCATAAGTGTTGGCACTTTGATAAACATCTGTGTTTCATTGTAGCAAAATTGTAAGTACTTGTTTAGAATACAATTACCTGAATGTTAATTACTGCTAATTAAAATTTACTTCGAACGTCAAATCGAGTATTCATTAAATAGAAGAATGATAAAGTTTTTCGCGCATTTGTGAAATTCGACGCATGGTCGAGCTGCATGGCGCAATTCTGAAGCGGCCTTTTTTTATTCCTTGTAGGCATGTAATGGTAAATAACTTTTGCTATTTAAGTCCTATTCATTGACAAAATGTACAATGCATCACAAAGCTTAGTTCCGAGTAAGGTGGTCTCTTCTTCCACGAAATTGGACTTTTTACTATGCCTAATAATGTTTTACTGTCTGTCAAAATGTCAAAGTTACGTGTGGGTGCACTTCCGTTTCCCGGGCCGGAATTCTAAAATCATTTTGCAGCACAAATGGGAAAAGGAGTAATTGCATTACTTTATTCCACAAAGTTACATTAATGCTTCAGCATTTATATGCAATACATTTTACTTGTTTTGATTCCTTTAATTAATGTGAGCTGATGACAAAGAGATTACAGACGCTAAAAGAACAAGCATATTTTCGATAAGTTTAGCCCTGCTTTCACAGTTAAACGGGATTATAAATACCACAAGACATCAAATTCTAGACACAATGCAAAATCATGCATCTGCGGCATCTGCCTACATCCGGCCGGGAACACCTGGGGATGTAGTCAATCTCTGTATTGGCGGACGTCTTTTTATCACCCGAAGGGCGACTCTCTATCGTCTGCCAGACAGCCGTCTCTACATGATTGCAACACAGGGTGAGGAGGCCGCTAGAGCTGCATCCCAGAAGCACGACTGCCAAACTCAACTCTCTTCTGACAGCCAGTACATCGGTGAATACACCGTTGGTGGTGCTACCTTGCTACCTAATGCCGTCGCCTCTTCCCTGTTTGGGAATAAGGAACTTATCTCGGCTGCAGCCGTCTGCAAAAACCAAGTCTACAACACATCCCCTTCCCAAAGCCATTCCACACGTCTGTTGGATAATAATCACTCGTTTTCCGGGGCGCTTCAACACGAGAAAATGACAGTCGCTCCTCAACCTGTGTACTTTTTCGATAGGGATCCAGAAATCTTTCGATTTGTGCTGGATTACTACCGCACGGGAGAGCTCCATTTGCCAACAAATATCTGTGGGCCGTTTGTTCGTAAGGAATTGATTTTCTGGGGTATTGACGAATCTCTCATTGATCCCTGCTGCATGCCAGCCTACATGAGGTACGATGAAGAGAAAAGAACCAAAAAAACACTTTTTCGGGATTGTTTTGAGGATATTGACTCTATGCAGAATTTGGTCAAATTTTCTCGTGGGTGGAAAAAGTGGCGCTATAGGATGTGGCTATTTATGGACCATCCTACATCGTCGTTTGCTGCTCAGGTAAGTTTCATTTGCTTTCTTTTATTACTTAACAAAGCAGAGATTGCGCTGTGTGGACGATCTTAAACCGTCCTTGATTTAAGAAGCTGGTCAGTAATAATTACGGTGAATTTGGCCATAAAATTAATTTGTTAAGAGAAATTTATAACCAAATAGAAGGTTTTATCTGGTTTTCATCGTCAAAATTTACTTTTTATTTCTTATATAAATGCATCGTTCAATATGTGCAATTATTACGCAATATATTCTCTCAGCCAGACATAACTGAATTGGTTTACCTCTTGTGCCTTTGAATATTTTCCGTCAACATTAAAATTCGAAACACCCATTCGTTCAAAACTTGATTTTCAAGTCTCAGTAGTGTTTATTACGTGGTTTTCAAGAAAATTTATACTAAATGTACCCGAGAATCCCGGTCTTATCGTACTCCATCCGACTTATGCGTTCAATGTCTACCACTACTCAACCACGGAGGCATCGCTACAAAGTGGGACCAAAAAATATGCTTTTGACTTTCATTCGAGGAAAAATTGAATTACTTTCCCAACTGCAATAGTATAGGTATAATGAAGCGAGTTGGTTAGATGTGATCCGGCCAATAACACAAGAGCTGAGGGCAACGGCGAGAGATATTAAAGGATAATTGAAAGGTTTATGTCGAATTAACTGTCTAATGGCACAATTACCCAGTTAGAGATAAGGGATTAAAGGTATCCAATTCTAAGCACATGAGACAGTATTCCACAATTTGGGCATACAAGACATACACAGACTTTTCAGAGAAAAAGCTAGTCCATAAATTTTAAGGTGTTTTTAAACCTCTCATTGAATAAAAAAATTTACTCGTGATTTCCAACCCAAAAATTTACAAATAATTTACTTGACAAAAATAAGTGGGATTTAAATCACAAATAATTATTGCATAAATCATTTACTGGAAAATGTTAGGATGGATAAAAGTAATTTTGTGAAGTTCATTTTCAAATTGCAAAATGCTTGTCTTAGCAGCTGTTGCAGTACCATAGTTTTATACTGAAATGTTTCACTGCAGCAATTCCTTCAGACACGATTGGAACTTTGTGTTAAACTTTCTTGTGCTGAATTCCAATCTAATGTAATTCAAAGTTTCCACATATGCAAAAATGGTCAAATAACTGGCATTTAGAGAACCAATAAATCATCACTCGGCTATGCACCTTTACTGTCACTGATCAACTTAAAAGTTGTTACTTTAAATTAGATATTTAGAAAATGACTCACGGTTCCATATCACTTAAGTTTAGCAGAAAAAAGTTATTTATTATTGAGTCGATTCGTCTGCAAATTCATCACGATTTCCTGACTATGCTGAAAACGAACGCTCCTTTGCATAATGAGGTTTTGAGAGATATTTTACTGACGAGTTCGACGTATTTAAATTAATCTTGAGCATTACGTTGTGAGCATATTTGTAAATGTGACGAATGTGTGTTAACACGCACTTGGATTGAATCAAGAATACGGGCTCCTTAACGAACGCTACATCCCAGGGGCGAGAAAACGCCAAAACAAGTTTGTGACGTTAGACCATTACGTTGGCTGAAAGTACCGGAAATAATTTTGCTTTCTTTTTAATGATGGGTAAACTCAATGAGGGAGTTTCTTCAGCCGTGGAAATTGTTGTGTGAGATAGGTTACCAACGATTTTTAATCATTAAAGGCTTTTTGGAATTTGCGTTTAAGTTTTTGCTTTAACAGTAGAGAACAGATAAGGAAACTGGAAATAATATCAGAAATTTTCGAATTATAAGAATTCTTTAAAAAATTTTCAGGCTTATGCTTTCCCTACGTACACAAAACATAAAACTTAATCTGTCTTTTCTTAAGTATTCCATAAAAAACCTATTAGAAAACAATTAATATGGTCTCTTCGTGTTATAAACGGAATAATCACGCGTGTTTTTTTAAGAAAAGCCCATTTATTTTCTACGTTTTGAACATGGAGTTTAAAATTAACACTTTTACTAGGAATTTTTTCATTTTTTAAGATCTGAACTTATAGACATCGGTTTTGGACAAAAACTCACTTTAAATGGAGCAAAAATTAATATTTTACATGAAACACCTCTATTAAAATATAACCGTGAATGGGCTTTTTGAGTAAGAATTTTGCTTCCATTTGTAGTAAATGACAATCAATTTTACTCAAAATTTGATACAACAGCACCCAGATTTTTCGAAAAGATTCATTTAATTATAGAGTTCACTACAGTTGCTCATTTTGTATTAGTCATTTTGCCATTACGCTTTTGTTTTCTATTAAAGTCTTAATGACGGCAGCTACTATGTTGCAGAAAGTAAACCTTTAATCTGTTAAAGCTTCACTATATAATTTTTGACATTATCTAGCCTCTATTCATTTGCTTTCGTTGTGAAATTTCGGGGGTTTCATTGCCATTCAGAAAGCAACCAAGACCATCAAATCCATCGTTTAGAATTAACTTGGTAGGAATCTCGTGTTTTCACTTACAAATCGCGGTTTTTGGTTAAACCCTCTTATTTCAAGACAAGAGACTAGATACGAAATCGCTTGGTGGATTCTTAAATTAAATTTGCCTAAGTAATCACGCGTTAATGCGGCTGGCTGCAAAAGCATGTTTTTTTTTAAACTAAAAGAAAACCGCTTTCAAAGGTGGCTAATTTGTAGTAATGATAGGATGATTCACTAAAAATTACACAACTCTCTCCTTTTGCTTATAATTTTTTAGAGCTTCAGTCCTTAACTGTAGAAGAAATGGCAAATAAAGTTCGAGCCAGTAAATTACTGGAAAGCTTGTGCCATGAGATATTTCATTCAATTTCGTTTATTTACGTAGTGAGTGAGGCTTATTTCTTAAACTTAGATTTAAATACTGCAAAATTGAAAAAAAATACTAATGATTCATCTCCCAACGTTTGTATGACGGGAAGCTCGGCCTACATCAGTGATATTTATGATGGGTGGCATTCTCAACATGCACACTCAGAAATAAACCACTTGTCCCGAAAAGTCTAATTATTTTTAGTTAAGCAAGCAAACTGCTACATAGCAGACAGCCAACGTTACATTTATCCTTTTATGCCATTCGTCGACAAAATCTAATGTCATTAATACACAAAATAGCCCAGATATTACTAACCCAAATTTGTGTAAAAATATAAGTAAACATGGAAATTTTACTGAAGAGCTTGTGTTCAAGAAGTTAACCGCTACAATTACTGTTTCTGCCACACCGCTCGATGTTCATGTAATTTTGAGGTATTTTGTAATCTTTAGTAATTGGGTTCGGTTTCATCTGGTCGATTCCGGTTTTCATATACTTAATGACACTACAGTTACCGGGTGGTGAGGGCTGTATTTTTTTATTCATAGCAGTTGTGAATGAAAATGCCTGAATATGTGTGTAAAGGTATAAGTAGGTTGGTGCCTGTTGATAAATTCATCTGAAATGGAATTTCTGGTGTACATGTCGGCTATAATATCTTGATGAGATTTGCATCGTACACGATATCTTAGGATGTTTCCATATGCATCATCTACCTCTTAAGTTAATACTGTGTTTCACGCTTTGACAATGAGTTCATCTTTGTAAATAACAAATTCTGCCCACTCATGAAAGAGAGTGTGAGTTCATAGCCCCGTCGTTAAGGTACAAAATCATAGCCAAATAACAATTTTTCAACTAAGTCATTTACCTTAAACAGTGTATTTATGTGTTACCACACAAAATGTTAGTTTTATTATCCAGCTATTCTGAGTGGCTATTCTTCCTGTCAATAACAATTGGGGAACACCGACATTCAAATTTCCAATATACACACAGCGTGAGAACAGAGTTAACTTGGCAGTGATGCAGAGAATCGCTTAATCACATACTCTGGTTTTAAGAAAGATTATGGTTTAAATGTTTGTTGGGAATGAAGGCGTATACGTTGAGTACCATGCACAAAGTCAGTAAAGCCTGGTCTGGAAATGCGATTTTTGTTTCTTGTTAAATACAGCTGTTGAGCTCGGTGGTAAAGGAAGACTGCTGGCACAAACTGTTTACTTAATTGTAGACAACTTTGGCATTCTATATTTATTTCAGACGATTAACAACATAAGTCAGTACCCTTACGTAGACATCTGCTTTTGAGCTAGATCATAACCTTTGAACTTTTGGTAAAAGTATGGAAGCGCACCAGGTTCGCCGATAGTTGCATACCTTCTGAGGATTGATTATTCAGGAAAACAATGAATCAGAAATCATGTAATCCTGCTATCGCATGTTTAATTTCACAAACTGGCAGGTGTTTAGGCTGGCAGACGATTTAATAGTTACTTTGGAAGGCCACCGATCTCATCGCGCATTAACCGTTCTGATTTACTGTCCTGTTTCTGGGCTTATTACATCACAGGTGCAAACAAAGTAGCTGATATCGGATATCCCGATGAGTAAAAAATTCAATTTAACTAGCATTCCTGTAGAAGCACACCAGTCGCGGACGCGTGTGAAAGTTTATATTCACAAGGTTCTAAGACGAGATTTCATGCAACTAATGAATGGAAGTGAAAAGAAAATTCTCTTACATTAAGGCTAGACCACAAATAAACCCCATTGATAGGTAGATGGTTGAATTCTTAGGATGATTTTTTGGCAGCAGAGGGATATTTTTTTGTATAAAACTTAAAATCAACGGCAGTTATTAATCCCCCTCCCTAAATCTTCCAACACCCGAGATTAACAAAAATGAGGATAGTAATGATATTTTGGGAAAATGATGACCATTGCTAGGGTGTTTGTGACCGCATTTTAACAGGTGCATTTAGGTGTGCTTCATTAACAGATATCCTACTATTTTCATCAGCAATACAATTTTACCATAACTGGTTTACTTTAAACAGATTGGATCGGCGAATCCATTCCATGCTCTGGGGCCTTGACGAAAGAAATATTTTGCTTAAAGAGGCTGACAACATGTCAAAATTCTGATGCATGTAGAAGATATCTTTCCCCTATTTTCCTACATGGGTTAAGAAATTAACTGTGCGCGAATTTAAAATTACA